TTAATAACTTATTTAACTTTCAGAAAAACATATTTTCCCACCTCAGGTATTAAATCCCTGTTATTTTTTGTTATTAGGCTTCTTTATGATATGTGCACTATTAGTCTTCAACCCCGTTACACAATGACAATCTTATGATAGCTCTAAACATTTCAGACACCACCAATATGAAATTACTTTTTCAGAAAATAAAATAAAATAAAATGTAGGTGTGATTGGTTGAAACCGGGGTTGAAGATGATAAAAAGGCTGAAGAGACACATAGAATATAAACAGTTTTTTTATTACATTTTTTTTTACTGAAATTCACTGTGTGATTTTCTATAAACATTGTATATAATTTTTTAACCATTTAAGGACAATAGATAAAATTGCAGCTGAACTGAGTTTTGTTAACCCAACTGCATTTTTTTTATTCAGGATAGGCTGGTCCTCACTTCTTCAAAGGACTGTATGAGGGTTCAGGTTAGAGTCAATGTTAGAACTGGGTTTAAGTTCAGTTTAGGGTAGGTGTTGGGGTTAAACATTTAGCTGTGATGGTTAAGGTTAGGGATAAGTCAATGAATATTCTCACAACAAGGGAGAAGAGAAGCTGGGGTTCCTCTCAAGCAGCCCTGTGCTGAATGTAGCTCGTCAATGTCACTTGAACATGAACCGACCAATCACAGCCTGGATTGGACATTTAAAAGTATCGACAGATAGGTGTCGTTTACACGGGGGACAGGTCAGAATCAGAATGTCTCCATCACTTTTTGAGAGCTTTTGTTAAAAATGTTCTGAAAAACAGCAATAAGAAATGTTGAATAACAAATGAAACAATACACAATAGGGAAACATGCAATGCAGCTGAAATACAGAAGAAACAAATGTGCATTGTAGCCTACAGCGGAGCAATATTATTCTTGAAATGTCACAGAGCACAGACATGTGGGAGAGATTCTGACTGTGCTGAAATTTTTGAACATGAGCTGAAAGCCTGCTGAAACACAGGAGCTGTTAAAGTTAAGGAGTTTATAAATTAATTAAAATGAATTAATTTATTATTGATGTGAACTGGTGCCACATGCACATTTAAATACCCAAACAAAGGATACAAAAGAGGAGGGAAGACTATGCCTACATATGTGTATCATGACATGTCAGTTACATTTACATTACATTTAGCTTACAATTGCTATACATGTCGGAGGTCACATGCCTCTGGAGCAACTAGGGTTTAAGTGTCTTGCTCAGGGACACAATAGTAGATGTCTCACAGAGGGAATCTATGTGCCATCACCACCCCATCACCAGTTGACTCAAACTGGTGAGATTCAATAGATGGAAATTATCCTATTCATTCAACTCAGTGTTAATTTGTGTTTCTGGGACATAAGGCACCACATGGACCCAGGAAATTGTTGATCTGCTTTATCACAACGGAGATGCTGAGGCCTGCAAACGAGCCCCCACACCTATCCGCAGTCCTTTCCTAGAGATCTGCTCCCCACCACCCATCCCCTCAGGTGTGTGTTCATGTTGTCATCTTTGTGTGTGATTGCATTTACAAGTTTTAATAAAGTATAATAATATTGAGATGTTTACACCCTATTTTCCTCACATCTGTCCAAAATATCCATTAATACATCTTCCAACTGTGGCAGAACTCACAAATCCAATTACTGGAGGAATGTTTTCATAACGGCAAGTTTCTTCCACTTTAATCAGGGTTAATGAGCTATTAACCCATAAACATTTCTCTCAGCACCAAAATGACCAAACAGCTGAGTGACAGCTAATCCTGCAGTTTGTGACAAAAAACAAACAAACTGATGTGGTTGGTCAGGCAGAAATAGTGTGCTGTACATAATGTAGCTATAAGGTAGGCTACTGTTAGTAAAACATGAATTAGCCAAAATTAGCTGCCTTGAATTACTTATTTGACAATTCACTTTTAAAGCTGTGTCAATCGATTTGTCTGGACGAGAGGGAGCAAAACATTTTAAAACAAAAAAAGGTCAACTTGCTAACAAAGTAATGGCATATAGTCTACTTACATAATCTTCACACATGGACAAACTTTAGAAAATTTTATGCCACTTGGTGCTGGTTATGAGAGTTATTATACTAGAAATGGATTTGATGGAACAGTTTCAAAGAAATATTTTGACATTTTGGGAAATATCCTATATTTATTTGCTTTTCACAGCCAGCAACCAGTTAGCTTAGCTTAGTTTAGTGTAAAGAAAACTGGACATGGGGAAACAGCTAGCATATTACCAAGTGAGCTTTAGAGGTGCTGGTAGGCTAGCTATTTCCCACTGTTTCTAGTCTTTACGCTAAGCTAAGTAGGTGCTGGCTGTAGTTTCATATTTATACACCCTGGACCAAGTTCTGTCCTAAGACGTCCCCTAAATCTTGGGAAAACAAAGATACTTTTAACTAAGTTGAATGTCAGAAAGCAGTTGTGGGACATCATTAGCATGCATTAGATCGGGACTTATACAACATTAGCATAACATGGAATTTAATATAGTATGGAACAGAAGTGCGTTTCAACTCTTTCATACATATATCCTTTCTTTGTGTTTCAGGTCTTGATCTTCTGAAGACAATGGATCCCCCAAGAATTATCAAGACACATCTTCCTTTTCAGTTGGTGCCTCCTGGATTTTGGGAAAACAAGTGCAAGGTAAGAATCTGTCAGATTCAACAGAGCTCAAAATCCTGCTGGGAGTTATATTTCTTCACAGTGAACCGTATATGCATGTTAATAGGGTGAAAAGTTCATGTCTCAATGCACGTAATGGGGTGAGAGGTTAACTATACAATGCCATGTAACTGCCTCATTAGGTTACCTATTATCTGGATTGTTGTTATAAATCTTGCCTTCATCTCTTCCCCCTTGATCATGTGTAAAGACTATCTACGTGGCCCGCAATGCCAAAGACAACATGGTGAGCTACTACCACTTTGATTGTATGAATCTGACCCAGCCTGAGCCAGGGCCCTGGGAGGGATACATCCACAAGTTCATGCGGGGAGAGTGTAAGTAGATTAAACCACATTCCTGGGTGTCATTTAACCTTCAACCAAGAAAGGACCAACATAGTCTTGGCTATGTCTGGTACATTTACCCTGTCCACCAGCCAGAGGTTCTTGTGAATTTAAAAACAACGAGAAACTTCCTTAATTCACTGTTTTTCACCATGAGAAATTTAATATGCCTCAAAGGCATGACGAGATTAGCAGCACCCTGCAAGGCGGCAGGCTGAAGGTTATGCCATTCAGATTAAAATGTTCTCGTTGTTCTTGTTTTGAGGTATATCAAACTGTATATATATATATCAGTCAAATATATATATATATATATACTGTATATATACTATTTTCTATTGAGGCCCCTCAGGGGTTTGTACCCTGCAACTACTGGCTTTGTTAATGAGTAAGAAATTATTTGCTAATGCTTTATACCAGGGATCTCAAACTCAAATCATCCTACTGTGGTACTGTCATCTCATAGGAGGGCCATAGCAGAATTAAAGTACTCCAAGAAAGTGCAATATTCTCAAAATGTACTTTATTACCGTTACCAACATATTTTGAAAATTTTCATGTGTTTGACTGATAATTATACTGAAGTCAAAAGGTACAATATATACTACTCAAATGTAGTGCATCCTCAAGTATATGTAACTCAAACATTCATTTAAGTAATACACATCGGGCCACCGCCATCAGTCTGTTATTTCTGCCTGACATATGGGGCTCCGTCAGTTATAATGCCTTCTAGTCGGCTCCATGGTGATCCAGACCAAACCAAACCACATAAAATATCTGCAACTTTCAACACGCAGTCCATCTAATTGTCCTTCATTGGTGATTAATTCACTCACCACATAACTTGCTTCAACTGCAGTTTCAGTGTCCTTCTTGCCTTTATGAAAAATATACTGCTATGTCCATCTTTCTTGAAACAGCCTGTGTTTATCATCCATCTTCTGTTATGATTTCAACAGCAACATCTTTCTTTAGCCAATAGCGGGCATTTGAGGTCACCTTACCTTTCACCTTGACATTGGCTGTAATTCACCTTTGCCATGACAAACGAAATGCATTTAAAAATTGTGTTTTTGTTTTAATTATTTCAAATTGGTAGCTTGAATTGGCATGAAACAGCTAAATAATATAAAATATATAATTAAATAAAACAATAAATTGGCTGGCCAGATTTTGTTATTTTTTACCATCAGCTAGTGGGCCATAACAAAGTGGAGGAAGGGCCGGTTCTGGCCCGCGGGCCTGGAGTTTGAGACCCCTGCACTTACACATTACTTTTTGGTTGCCAGACTGTGAAAACTTGTTACTTGTTTGGCCACTTTTTGGACTGTTAGACCACTTACCTTCTGGAACAAAATCTATTCATTAACAACCTAAAAACATTTGCAACTGCAGACCTTATGGACCATTGAAAAAAAATTATTAATGACTTATCATTGGCTGTAATCAATGTTTTTTATGTTAACAATGGACAACATGACTACTTGTTAGTGAAAGTTGTTATTCATAGTGATGATTCTACAAAGAATAATCTCTTGACTCTGTAGTCATGTGTTGGAGCACTAGAGAGTGTTTTTTAGCAAGAACACCTGACACTACTATGCCACTGCAATCCATCAGTTTGGGATACAAGCAGGAAAAGACCAGGCTGGTTCTTGAACTAAGAGAGGCCATAATCAGTCAGTGAGAATTGCAAACGCCAAGTTCCCCAGTGGCTGGAAGTGGAAAGCCCAGGCTGAGGTTGACCGAGCGGTTGGTAGGCTGCAACATCAAGAACTTGTTGGGAGGATCCAGGCAGCAAGGGCAGGACTACTGTTTGGAGAAGCGCCGACAGGAAACAAACAAAGGAGATGGTGGTTGCACAAGTGTCAAGGATGGAAGAAGAGTGCAACAAGATCAACGCTGTGTCATAAGGCCGACAAGGAAACTGGACAACCTGGGACAGGGTTGTCAACCGGAAAACCAATTGGAAGATCCCACAGGCAAGACTCAGTTTCCTCATCAGGTCGACACGCTTCCCTGTTTTCGGAACCTCCACCAGTGGTTTGGGAATAAGGAATGCTGCTTGCTCTGCAAGGCCCCAGTGCAAGCCTACAGCACATCTTGTCAGGCTGCAAGGTGGCACTTTTCACAGGGGCTCTGTAGAAGGTACCACAAACAGGTCCTGAGAAAATTGGCCAAGGTGCTGGAGGTGCGAAGGCAGGAAAGCAGTGGATCCTCATCATCTGTGGAACACCCCATACAGTATGTCAAGGAGGGTGGAGTAAGAAAAAACACCAGGTCAAGAGAAACACCAAAGCTCTTTGCCTCAGATCCGGAGGGAACATGAGAGTCGATCTTGGCAGGCAGCTCCAGTGCCCCGGTGAGATTGCAATCACGTCACGCTTCCGGCAGCTGAGTGCAGGGAGGCTGGCTGGAGAACCACCATGTACCCAATGGAAATTGGATGCAGAGGCTTTGTGGGGCTGTCAACCACACACCTGCTGAGGGACGCAGGAGTGACGGCAGAAGAGGCGGAGAAGGTCAGAAAGCAAAAATGCTTAGCAGGTTACACCAACTACCTGTATATTTACAGCTGCCCCCAAGTAGCAGAACAAATCTGTAATTGCAGGTTTAAAGTGTCCCACTTTCTAATAAGCCATCACATCTGCATTTATAAATGTTGATAATCCATAAATAACTTCTCACTTAGTGAGAATCAGTTCTGCAGTAACAAATGCTATGCTAAGTTATTGAGAAAGGGTCATAGGTTTCTCACTTTCTAATGTCTCTATGTATATGTGCGTATATATGTTGGTGTTAAGTCATAAAAAAGGGTTATTGCATTCATTCATCAGGTCAGCGTCAGCAGTTGTAAAATATTAACAAGTTGTTAATGAATGGATTGTGGTCCACATTCCCGGCAGGAAGGTCTGTCCAAAAAAGGTAAGTGGATTAAATGTTCATTGGTGAGCCTTCTTGATAGAGGGATTTTTCACAACCTGGCAACCCAAAAGTTAAGAATTGATCTACACTAAATGATTTATTAACTTTAAGAAAACAGTTACAACTTAACTGCTCAGTAGTCACAGTTAACACAAACCTTTAACTGGAGTGGAAATAGCATTCCCATTAAAGGTGCTCACTGAGTTCGGTTTCTACAGTGGGATGGGGCTCCTGGTATGACCATGTGAAAGGATACTGGGTGGAGAGAGAGAAGAGGAATATCCTTTACCTCTTCTACGAGGACTTGAAAGAGGTAAGGAGAGCCTTCCTATAACATATGGACCAAAGCATGGTACGCACTCCTACCATCATATTTACTCTCCCAGAATCCTCGGCGTGAAGTGGAGCGCATCATGAGGTACCTGGACTTGTCGGTGTCTGATGAGGTCATCAGCCGAATTGTGGAGCTCACGTCCTTTAAGAACATGAAGGAGAACCCCATGGCAAATTACTCCTGTGTCCCAGCACCTGTTTTTGATCAGTCCATCTCTCCCTTCATGAGAAAAGGTGCGTCTGTCTCGTCCAGAAGGGTAATATTGATCAAATAATAAAAGATGAGCAGGGCAGGGCATGTACCAAGGTTTCAAGTAAGGCATACAATATCATGAACACCTCGTCTCACTTCTATGAACACACAGGTTGACCATCTTATCATATCTTCATATCTTGAAATATAATATTATAATGCAGTTAAGTCAACCTTTCTGTCAAAAAAAACTCAACAGACAGGAGTTACTACCACTCTGTTTTCTTGTTGTATCATGATATTTTTCTCCTTGTACTTCACATTGTACAGTGCAGTGGCGCCCTCTAGAGGTCCATGAATTTCTTGCCTTTGCTTCTGTTATTTTAATAGACTATGAAAACTTTATGCGAAATATAGCTGGAACGATTAGTGCAGTGGTTCTCAAAAGTTTTCACATCAAGGACCCCTAAGCTGACACAAATTAGAACACGGACTCCCACGAACAGGATTCTTGCTTTTTAATGATATATAACAGAAAATGTATGAAACCCATGACACAAGTAGTCATAAATTCTGTCATTGTGTTTACTTATGGATGGAATTACAACAAAAATAAATGATTCCCCTTTTTATTGGGGACCCCCTGGTTTTCCAGTGAAAACAAGTTATTTGAAGCTTGGGCTCTTTCATAAACCAAAATTAAAAAGTTAATTGAAAAATAATTAGCAGATTGAATAAACGTAAAGAAAAATAATCATCAGTGGCAGCCCTAATGGTCAATAATAGATTATTTCAGGAAAAATAATTTGAGAACTTATTTCTTATTTACTTGCTAATTTCAACATGGTATATGGTTATTGATTTATATATCTAACATGGTTGTTTTTTCTTTCTTTACAGGTGAGGTGGGTGATTGGATGAACCATTTCACACCCGAGCAGTCAAAGCTGTTTGATGAAGACTATGAAAAGCAAATGAAGGAAGTCAACATACCATTCAGGACCCTCATCTAACGGATTTGGGCTTTTTACAATTTTTTTAATTGATGCAGCTCTGTGAACCAAAGATTGATGAACTAACACTGTGCAGCACTAAGAGAGCAGAAGTACTGTCAAGAAAATTGACACGAGCTAAAAACCAAAACAATAAAATACATTTGTTTGACTCACTTCTGAATGCTGGATGTTAAAAAATAATCAGTGCACCTCCTGACGTGTAGATTAAGAGGAAAACCATCCTAATGTGTTTAAAGGATCAATAAAAATGTGCTCCACAATACAAGTACTTGAGTTTGTAATCACTTTATTGCAGCTTATCAGGTAAACAATATATAAGACCAAAAGTGTTGTGACTGAGTGGACATGCCCATTTTATGTCATGGGACCTCCAACAGAGACTGCATGGAACCTATAGAGAGCGCTGGCAGCTGGAGGCATGTGATTTTTCTGCCCATATGAAGTCATTTTGCAACCCTACACCACACTGTACAGAGCCCAGCCAAAGCAGGGAGGCTGCACGAGACACTAGCAACAAAGACTAGAATAAAAATAATGAGCTGGAAAGTCAATCATATGAAAATGGACACAAAAACACAACAGCTGAGAATATCCAAGTTTAACAAAAAAAAATCACTTTTAATACATAATTTATTTCTTAGAATAAAATCTTAAATACTGTGATACTTTATCAGCAGGGATGCTTCCCTTCATCATAACTAAATCTCCTTCCTTATATAGAGGCTATTTTTCTGTGAGTTTTGACAAGTTTTATTGTTATTTTTGTCAGTTTTCCTGTATTTTCTCCTCTCTCTTCAATTGGTTGGCTCACTATGCCTGCCCTCTTTGGTTTTGATCTTCCTCTCTCTCTCCTCTCCGCCTCTTTCTCTCCAACTCTTAAGATCCTCTTCTTCTACTTGTCTATTTAGCTTCCGTATCTGGTAAAAAGAAAATGGATAAATCAGGGAGGGAAAGGACGTTTGGACACATGATTTGATCAATGGAAACACAAATGAGCGAGCCTTTAAAGAAACAAATTAAAGAGGCCAACACTTATACTATCTTTGCAGACAAACATATCATTGCAAAGTCAAATTGTTTGACACTTCCCAATCTAAAACTAATCTCACTACAAAAGCATGATGTAATCTAATGAAAGCAGCGAGCAAACTAAATCAGACTTCTTGAGTCTGGGACTGAAGAAGAAGAAGAAGAAGAAGAAGAAGAAGAAGAAGAAGAAGAAGAAGAAGAAGAAGAAGAAACCCTAAGATTGAAACTCAATTGGGATTGAATTTTCAGTACTTTTAACTTTTGGGGAGGCAGGTTGTTTTTCACAGGATGGAATTTGGCCCGGTGATAAAGATCTTTAAATGGGACAAACTGTAACCACCTTGCCCTTAAATGAAATGACAAATTTAGCTTGACAGGGCCTGGATGATAATCAGTGTAATCACAGGAGGAAAAGTATCTTTTCAAGAACTTGTTGATTTTCCCAAGGAGGTTCTTGGACAAGAACAGCATAAAAAGTTTGGTAACACTTAACTTGAACCCTTATACGCAGGGCGTAAACATATAATAAACTGTTCATAACACATAGTGTAGTTATTAGCAGATATAAGGACACATTTTTATTAATGTACAATAATTACAATAATTATAACTTCTCCTATTAAGACATATATAATTAAAGCTGTGTTATATTAAATTGTCATGCATGATCTACATATTAAGAGAGGCTAACTACATCAACAAACACATAAAACATTTTTATCTGCTTACAACTTCATTATAGTGTGTTATGAACCATTTATTATATGTACTTATACACTGCTTAGAAATGATAAATGGGAGGGGTAAAATAAAGTGTTGCCAAGGGGTTTTGTGGGGCATTGACAATATCAAGCCTTTTTATAAAAGTGGTACCAAAACAGGCGTTGGTCACAACGCGGACAGAAAACAGATCAACAAACACGCTGTGTTGAGGCCAACAGCAGCAACTCAGAGGTGATAAACGTGACTTCTGAGCTCGTATGAAATCAGAAATAAGCTCAGAGGAGGACATCAGGGACAGACAGCAGCACTGAGAGATCTCCCTATTCCTTAGTGCCACTGTCCCAATTTGTGACAGAGATCAGACACATTTTTTCATTATGTCAGATTAAGTAGTAGGGAGAACCCAGAGTTGTACATCAACAGCAGCGTGATGATTTGTACAGTAGACACCACTGAAGACAGATTTGCACAAGAACAGAAACATATGAGACAAAACTAAGGAAACACAACCACGTACACACAAACAATAGATACAAAGTGATAGCCATTAGCAGATGTGCACATTGTGGAATACCTTGCTTTAGATACAGGCTAATGGTGGTGGGTTGACAGAATTTAGACTGAAAATCAACAAAAAGGGTGAGTTAGTGAGAGGAGGGAGGGGGGGGAGAAAGATCAGGCAGATAAAAACTGGCATTATAGAACTTATGACAGATTCATAGACAGAGGAAGAGATGATGTGAGGTAATGGAATGACAGTAGTACAGGATGAAGAAGGATTATCATTTGTTAAAATATTAATGAATAGTTAACAAAAAAGAGATGAAAGTATTAATCAATTTGAATTATATTAAAGCTTTTAAAAGAGATAAGATATTTTATTTTAGGTAATAAGACAGATCTTTATATTTTTAATATGTTAGAGTGAATGTGAAAAAAGTGCAGTGTTACTTACTCTCAACGTAGTTACGGGCGATGAACTTCAGAACCTCATCAATAGCGATGACAGGGAAGGAAAGCTTCAATACTACAATCCACTGGTCAATGGTAAGGTGGTTCAACTTGAAGATCATCTGCGGGGCAAAAGAGTGGGAGTCAGAACTGCAGCAAAACCACAGCGACTACAACAAAAAGCGTCGAGAGGGAGCAGTGGTGGCTGACTTACGGGCATAGGGTCAACATAGATGATCAAGAAGTGCAGGGACATGGAGAGGGTCATTGCGGCAAGCAGCCAGAAGTTGCTCCATGGGGGCATGCGCACCAGAGACTGGTTCTCAGACAAGCTTTAAAAAAGAAAAGAAAAAAGGAATTATGAGAATAAATATCTGTGTTACCTGAAGAAACCACTGGAGTCATCATCAAAAAAAGAACTAGAAGCCTGTTGCATTGCCATTTCAAAATGTATTTCTTTTTTTTTTGCTGACAAAGTGTTTTTCTGTACTAGCTGTAAAACCCAATTTCAACACAAGTATTACCTGTTGAGAGCGTTGCACATCTCGATGGTGACCAGAACAGACAGGGCCATGGTCATGGGAGTGCAAGCCTCAAAGATCTCGCAGTCAATGCCGGTGAAGTCTTCGTTGTCTTCATGGCACTGCATGAAGTGGGACTGTACAGAGGAGAGGTGAGGTTATGCAGTGTCTGCATGTAAGTGTTTGTGGAAGACAAACAGGAAAGAAAGACAGTTACTTACCAGCTGGAAGTAGGAGACACCGGGGCCGGTTGGATCATAGAGGAACCACCAGGCAGCACCACCAACAGTGGCGGCACCGACGTATCCTGTAAGGGAAAGATTACAGTGTCAGTGTAGGCAGGTGCTTTTCCTGTTTTCAAATAAAATCCAAACACCATGTCCAAAGTCCTACTTACCACCAATAGCCATGTATCTGAAGAACAACCAGCCAGAAATCAGGGGCTCTTTGGGGGAACGTGGGGGCTTGCCCATGATGTCCAGATCAGGGGGATTGAACCCCAGAGCAGTGGCGGGCAGACCATCAGTGACAAGGTTGACCCACAGCAGCTGGACGGGGATCAGAGCCTCGGGCAGGCCCAGAGCAGCAGTCAGGAAGATACTGAGAGAGTGAAAAGGGAAATAATAGAACAAACGGAGGGCCGAGCTTAGCCAGAGACTGAGAGAAAGATGGCTGAAAGGTGGCATTCAGGTGTGGGAAAGAGTGTGTGTCACATAGGCCACTCACCAGACAACCTCACCAACATTGGAGGAGATGAGGTAGCGGATGAACTGCTTCATGTTGTTGTAGATAGCTCTGCCCTCCTCAACAGCAGCCACAATGGAAGAGAAGTTGTCGTCAGCCAGGACCATCTCAGAGGCAGACTTGGCAACGGCAGTGCCAGAGCCCATGGCGATGCCGATCTCGGCCTTCTTCAGGGCAGGGGCATCGTTCACACCATCACCAGTCTGGGGTGGGAGGAGAGGAAGCATAAGTTTAACTATTCTCAGAGCCACACACGTGTGTACACAAATTAACATAGACATACTGCAAATACAAAATCACTAACACTACACTAACAGCCGGAAAACAAAAAGACAAGTACTATGTCTGTGTCAAGTTTAGTTTGCATCTTATGCTGCTGAGCTCTTACCATAGCAGTAATGTCATCAAAGCCCTGCAGGAACTCAACAATCTTGGACTTGTGGGATGGTTCCACACGGGCAAAGCAGCAAGCCCTGCGCACGGCCTCGGCCTGTTCATGGAGGGGCAGATCATCAAACTCACGTCCAGTGTAGGCCTTGCCAGTTACATCCTCATCCTCACTGAAGATGCCAATGCGACGGCAGATAGCAATAGCGGTTCCCTTGTTGTCACCTGAAATATGGAGATGGAGAAGAGGGTCAGTGAAAAGTTTGGTGGTGTAAAACACATGTTTTGCACCACAGGGGAGTGGATACATCATAAAACTGCAGGAGAAGATGTGTTTTTCATTGTGTGTATTGTAGATATAGATGATTACAGTGGATTTTTTACACAACAATAATGGTATCAGAACACAGGCATTTCTGTGGCATAAGATATACTAGGATCTATCTAGCTGGAGAAAATTTCCCAATAAAATGTCAACAGGCCTTTTTAAAAAAGACGGAATATACAAGCTTCTTCTATATTGTATTATTAAATACTTAATTAAATTAAATTTAATTTGATTAAATCAAAAACTTTATACAACTAAACTTTTGTTTACATTTAGATATCAGATTTCCATCCTTAATGGCCAACTCAAAATTATTGCCAAAAAATACAATGTATTTATTATGTAAAATACATAATCCATAGAACACATCATACATAAAAATGTATGATTATGTTCTATAAGAGAACACATTACAGCATGTTCCTGCACTGATGATTCATCCCACCCCTGATACTAACCAGTGATCATAATGACACGGATTCCAGCATCTCTGCACAGCTGAATGGAGCCAGTGACTTCCTTACGAGGGGGATCCAACATACCCACGCAGCCAACAAAGGTCAGGTCAGTCTGAGGAGAGAG